TGATTTTTCAGCGGTACTGGGTGTTGACAGCTTCTAGTCACTTAAGTGAAAAGCCAGCTGCTGGCCTCTGATGAGCATGCAATTAGTGTTTCCTCTCCCTCTGCCTCTAACGTGCCGTGTGGCCAGGACTGCAGTGCAGAAGAAGAGAGCCAGCCAGCAGAGGAAATGGGGACGTGAGTGGGATCCGAGCAGTTTGCTGCCACCTCCTCCTTGAGCCCCACTAAAAGCCAGTCACCAGCGCAGCACCTGAGCCATTGCTGCTGCACTGTAGGAAGCACAGACATCCTGTGAAATACTCTGAAAAGAGTCTGCAAGTATATTTATACCTCCCAGGGGTGCAATGGAAGTTTTAAAGTTTAGGCCTGAAAAGACTTCTTAACAGGTGTCAAATTTAGCGTCAGCACACAGTTCTTCATGAACCAAATGACACATCCTCTTCAAACTCTCCTAGGAAATTTGGCAGTTCCTATTATTAAAGCCCCTACATTACCTTGAAAGAAAAATATATATAGAGAGAAAACTGACACGCTGCCTGGAGGCTGCTGGTGCTCAGAAGGTTAAGTCTTAGTGGCATAGAAAAGGGGACTGCAATCTACCTGAGCACATCAACTGGCTGCCTCATGGCATGACCAGATGTGTTTGTTAAGATCTGCAGCACATGAATGAAGTCATCAGGATGCTATGACAGGTCCATCATTCAAATGTTACCCAGATTATTTTCTATATTATTTGTGCTACAGCCACACACCTATTTTCAGGATGGACTTGAAGCACCTGCTTTCAGAGAGAGCATTAAGCACAGAGTGGTCACGGGCACCACATGGGACCCCAGCTGGCCACTTTGCCATCCCAATACAGCAGAAAGCCAACCTCATTCTGCAGTCAGACCACTCACTGCTATTCATGTCTTTGTTTTGGCCTAGAAGATATTTTCTGCATGTGAAAAAGAAAGGTCTCAAAGACCAGTTTCTTTACAGTGCTTTCAGTTTGTCACCCTTCTCCTTCACTAAACCCTACCTGCACAAAATGCTTTTTTGAAGGCATATTGATATTGCACTTTGAATGGTGTAACTTTTCTCAGCAAAAACATTTTGTTCATCCCCAAGATGTTAGATTTCCTTGAATCTGGAAAGAATAATCCTGAACAGGGTTTCACCTTCTGTGGTGTGGCTGAAATTATTTTTTTTAAAACCCAGCAAATGTGCATGGAGTTTCTAAGTAATGTGCATTTTGCCACACTCTCCACTAATATTTCACTATAACCAAAATTGTGTTTTTAAGAATAATTCTGATTTTAAATTGCATCAGTTCAAATATGTGGGAGCACTCACTCTTCTCTGTAAAGTGTATAGGCACCACCTTACATAAGTAAAATTATAAACACAATAGGAAATAAAACAAGCAAGTGTACCTCAATGTCAGCACATTCCTGCACGATACTTGCTTAATTGCATCAATTTAAAATCAAGTATATATTGAACCTTTTGTGTGAATTTAGCTGTAGCCTAATGTAAGCATTTTCATGTTCTGGTTCCCTGGTAACTGGAGGCTCATTCCGTACTGGTAGGACCGCATCCCATGCAAATACATGGGCACTAGCTGGTAGCAGCAGTTTGAGGCTGGGAGCAGGGCGGCTGTCAGCACTGGCTCTGCACCGTGCTTAGGGGACCGCAGTCTGTGTACTTCTTCAGTGCGGTGGGTACCAGATAACCAGGTGGTCACCAGCTGCGGTCCCACAACCCCAACGCAGGTACACAGCCACTAGGACCAACACTGCAGCTTTGGTTCTCACAATGTTCTCGGTTCTTTTTAGCACCTCACAAACTGCCTGCGGTATAAAGGGGCATGCCACCACGATCACTTATGGGAGAAAATGACATCAGGGAATTTAACTTTTGCAAGGCCCTGGATGTGTTTTGATGGCATCTCAGCATTTCAAACTGATCGCAGGTTTAATGCCTTTCTTAAGTAGCCTAACTGATGGGTAAACTCCCGTAGAGACTGGAATACTTCACAGAGCAGGTGAATATCGTTGCAGTCCCCAAAGGCCACAGTATTTTGCATGTGTTAATCCCCTGGAGAACAACATAGCAGATATCCCAAACACAGAGTGTTTTTGGAAATCCCAAAAGCCTAAACTTTATCACAGTGTTATCTTGACTGCAACTCATGCCCCATAGCTTTGGAGAGAAGGGGTGGGTGTTTACACTGCTCTATCTCTTTTCCTGTTTCTCTGGGAATCGCCTGAATGTTCAGAAAAGGTAATGAAAAGCCTTAAACTTGTGCCCGTGCTTCCTGCACTGAGACCAAAATCTCCTGTAAGCTTGCCAGACCTTTTACAGCTGCACCCTAGGGATTTAACACTGTGCAGCTTATGGGTTTATATGAAATTTCATAAAAGAGAAGCCTTGTATTTTTACATGAATATATTTATTTTGGGAAAGATCAAGAAATGCCAATATATTTCAAACCAGTTCCCTACTGCATTAAAGAATGTGAAATATTCATGTGAACATTTGATAATCCTATACAGTGAAATCTATTTCCCTCTCTATTTAGCATGCAGGCTGCAGCAGCTGAAGGTTGTTCAGCCTTTTCATTAGGAAGAAAAGTACGGATGATTTGTGAAAACCACATGGAAGTAATCATAAGGAACAGTACTGAAGGGTTTTTAGAACAAAACCTTGTAAGCTACCTTGTAAGCATGCTTTCACTTTCATGTGTTTGTTTCTTACATGGTGTTTCAGAGCTTCAAACTGTACATTTGTATTTATGAACATAATTAGAAGTGCAATATAATATGCTTTCATAATACAGAAATAAAAATTTAAAGGGCGGCACACATATTTTCAGAATATATATCTCAGCCTCTCTAAATTCTCCAGTAGGTAGCATCAGTCCAAGAAAATTCCAGTTTGTCTGTTCAACCATTACTCTTGATAATGTAAAGAGTTACTTTCTCATCAATGCTAAGTTTTGCATATACATCCAGACCCTCCTGTGGTCCAATATCTCACAAATAATCCCTTTCTTCATTCACCTGAACTCTGATAACTACAGCAGGAAATGGAAAATGCAGAAATCTGAGTGCCTGTGATCCCTGATTCCATCAGCGAAAAACATCTGACCTTGGGAGATCACTGAGAGATGCTAATATTTAAATATTGCTTCGAAGATCCTCAGATAAAAAGAGCTATATATGTGCAAATTTTTATGCTGCTTTCTGCTTTCCTACAGCTTCAAGATATAATAAGACACTGAAATGCTGAAATTTTGTTACGAAATAAAATTGTATTTGGAAATGTCATGCCTGCACAGACCAATGACCCAGAAGTCACTAAAGGCAGTGTATCAGAAGATGATGTAACCTGGCCTCTCCAGGTACCGAATGCTGCGATGAACAAGATAATCGCTTACCAGAACCAGCTGTGACCATTTCCCCCAGGTACCAAGAACTATAACAAGTATATAAATGATGTCGGAAGCAGTCACTAAGGGGTGGTTTGGATACATCCACCTTGACTTGGAGAGCAGTGGCAGCGGGGATGAAGAATGCTCATCTGTGCGGGCATGGGCCATGCCATGCCACTTGGCAGGTTCGTTGTATTTAATAATAAAGACACAGCCTATGAACCTCCCCCATGCCTTCAAATTTTTGTACTCAAGCTTACATGGGTAATGTCTGAAGAGGATGACTTAACACCTTGACTGGCACCTGAGATCTCTAACAGCTGGAAGCATTTCTTAGAAAGATTACAGGAAGAAATTTTACTCCTTTGTTTTGCATGGAGACCCTGAACATTACAGAGCCAGAGACTTTTAGCAGAGCCAGCCTAGTCATGGCTGGAATATTAAAGTATTCAGTAAATAATTGCCTCTAATGCTAATTCTAATATAAATAGCACATATGTTTCATTGAAATTGAATTTTTTGTTGATCTTTGAACTTTTGTATTATGTTACTGCTATGTTAGTACAAAATTCAGCCAAATCACTCCACACATGAAACAGATTCAAAGAATTCAAGCCTTCTCTGTTCATGCATATGTGTCAGCAGACAGTGATTCCTCTGAATCTGCATATTATTAGTTATTGACTACTTTTTCTCCTACATCATTCTATGGACTGAAGGCAAAGGCAATAGCCTGAATCAAGCATATTCGTATGACATAATTGTTCATGATCATTGTGGCAACCACGCAAAAGAAATTCCATCCAGCAACTGTAAAATTTTGTTATGTGCATCTAACACAAACCATTAGAAACTGGGTTGAGAGAACAGGTTCTGAATGAAAAAGGATCATGAGCTTAGCCCACATCTTCTCCTAAAAGCCAGACTGTAGCTATTACAATTTTTAAATGTTTGGTTGTTTTTCACATTTCACACACATCCTGATTTAGGAATCAATACTAAAGTGAAGCACAAATACTGCAAAGGCACAATACATACAATTAATTTAGGATTTCCAATCCTAGTAGAAACACAGTACCAGAAGCATCTCTAGAGATCTCACTTTTGTAGCCCAAGAGATAGATTAGTATTGGGATAAGCATCTAAGCTTTTGGGTACTAATAGGCTTTTTTCACTGAAACATCAAATGTTCTTGTTGATACCCTTCAGTTTTTCCCATCAGTGTCCAAGTTTACTTTTTACTCTTTAAGAAAAAGCTTCTGTAACAGGAACAGTTGAGTTATGCTGTCCCTCTAAAACAAATGAATCAATCCTTTCTTCATTTTCCTGATAATGAAGTTCAGCTTGTCTCACTAATCTTTTCCAAAAGAAACAAGAACAATTCAAATAAGAGCAACACGAAGTATTTTTAATGTAGTTTCTAGAAAAGCGAATAATTCTGTCTCTGAGGAAATGAAAGCCTGTGTAAGAAATGAAGTGGATTGCAAGCACAAGATGTTTTCCCTTCGCAGAAAATTAAATTAAAAGAAGGGTCCAGAGCTGAGAAAGACCTTCCCTTAGGACCTGCTCCTCCTTCTCCAAAGCCTTACCTTTGTGAGAAAACATCTCGGTAGGGGCTGCCATGCTGCAGTGCAATCCCATATCCTCTGTCCGCAACAGTGTTCCCAACCGTGTAAAAAGAGCAGTCTGCGTCATTGATGGCCACATACTCCAGTACCGCTGCGTCCCATACAAAGGCATAGTTCCCGTGTTTCACCTGTGGTAAACAGAGGAAGAGCTCAGACTGCGGGCTGTCAAGTCCAAAAGGAGGTCAGTGCACTTAAAAATGTGGCAGTTTCAGCACAGTCTGTTCTTTAAAGAAAGTGAAGTTTGGGTGCCCAACTTGTTGTCAATGCAAAAAGTGCACCGTGACTGGTGCCATGCGGTGCTCTGCCTGAGCACCTCACCAGAAATGGAAGAAACGTGATCGGAGAACAACGTGCCATCAGAGAAACAGCGTCGCGCAGGAAACCTGTACTGTCCCTCTTCAGGAAACAAAGGAAACCTCAGGCTCCCTCCATCAATGTTAAATTCCACCCCAAATCCCCCACTAAGTTTTTTCTTTGAGCCGTAAAAACAACCATTTAGAGGGGAGGTAGGTATTCACATGGGGAGAAGCATGGGAGGGTAGACATGGCTATCCAGATGGAACACCACTGTTCAAATAGCCCATATTTCAGTCATGCTTCAGGTTCCCGTAGACATCATGAACAACCATTTGTCTTTTGGGCTCTGTGTGTGATTGTGGCCAAGGTTACGTCAACTAGATTTTTTGGGATTGTTTTTCTCAGCATGAAGGGTTTTCACGTATCTTCAAAGACTTTCATACAGCAACATCATGTAAGCCATTTTAACTGGTTGACTAAGATAAATCCCAACTAACTCATTATATTGAAAAGCTTTTAAAGTCACATTTTACTATCCATTCACATTTGAAACAAATCCAGATTTTTCTTTTAATTTAAATATACGGGTAGTATACAAAATTTCGACATTTATTCAGAAGCAAGCTTCTAAAAACAGAAATCCAGTCTAAACAAATCCTTCCCTATTTCAGTGAATTTCTACTTTCCAGTCAAATCATGTTTTTCTGAAAAAAAAATTATAATCTCTAGCTGCTCTACCAGATCTTTTACCAGTTTTCTGTTTTGTTGGTCTCTATGGCAGACTGAAGAATCACATTGTTTTTTCCTCAACTTCTGCTTGGCTTCACTCAGTGCTTTCCCTATGCCAGCCATATTAGCCAGCTAAGCTGTAAAACTAGGCTGAACCCATTGACTTTGTACATCTAATGGGAATAAATATGTGTCAGCTAAGTGAAAAGTAAACAAAACACAAAAAGGCCATCTGGGGCCAGGCAATCCAGAGAGAATTCAAAACCAAGTCAGCATATCAAAATAAGCAATGTCAGTACATCATTTAGATTAGGCTTTGACAATGTAGATTATGTTTTTAAAGACTGTTTACATATAAAAGTTACTGAAGCAAGCCACATCAGCTGCTTGCTCACAAGATGTAGTGCACAAGGAACGAGTGCATTTGGGACACATTCCTTTTCATGCATAATCAATCTGAATTAGGCACTACAGGCCTGGAAAGGGAATATTTCCTATTTTTCATTCATAGGCATGGTACGGGAAGGATTTGTGCAGATTTTGGAGCAGAAAGGGAGCCATATTAACTGTGGACTCCATATGATTGGCAGGATAAAGAAAATTCTTTTCAAAATACACGCACACACACAAATGAAGAACCGGGTCAGTTTTTATCTTCAGGCTCTGAAAATGGTCAAGAATGGGTTTTTTTTGCCTCCCAGTGGAGGTTTAGGTCTGTCTAAATGGCCAGGGAATAAGGGATAGAAGTGAACTTGCTGTTAACAAACAATACAATTTGTATGCTTGTCTTATAGGCACTGCAACTCACAGAGCTCTTCCTAGCTTGGGTTATTCTGATCCTTCTACAGGCACCACTTGGCTAAGAAATAGATAGCGTGACTGAGAAAAAAGCCCTTCCTAGAAGCATTCAAAAGGATAATGACTCAGCCTGAAAAAGAATCATGATGTGCAGACAGCAAGGGAGGGAAATGGGAGACAAAAGCAGAAGATCAGAAGCAGGGAAATGAATCCTGAGAAAGATCAGATGGACTTTCCAAACAAAGGAATTAATGAAAAGCAAGGTTCAAAAGATGAGTAATTTTACATGTGGGGAGATAACCTTTGAGGTGATGGCAAGAACAGAGGGTTATGTTTTGACACCCGCTTTAGTCATAACCCACCCTTTTAACATCCCAGTGCATTGAATTCACCTAAGTGCTTGTAAAGAGACTTATCAGCTGCTCAGCTGGTCAGGAAAAATTCTCTTGATTTGGCTGCCTTGCTGTAAAACAACTCGCAGTGAGAATATATAAAAGTGGTAAAAGCACTTACTGTCAATAATATCTGTGATGAAGTGGTATATATAAGATCCTTAGAGCAGACCTGATAATATCACAGTTCAGGTTCCCACAAAGATATTACTTTTCATAGATAAGATCACAGTGAGCCTCAGTTAAAGCGCACGGGGCAGGAAAGAGATTGAAGAGGCAGAAGGGATCATCCCAGCCATCTACCTTCAACACATGATTGCTCCATGCAATAAAATACATCCTTTTTAGGGTTTCTGCCCTATCCATTTACAAATCTAGGGAATTCAAATCCATGGAGCAAACCTAAGTTGCAACTGTCATGCTTGCAGTCACTCTCTTTATGGAACTACTCCTCAGTCTAACAGTTTTCATTGCTATTCAACGTGTTTATATTTGCCACTTTTTTAAAAACAATAACTTTCTTATGTAATTCCTAGCTATTTTTCCTTTTGAAGTTCTAAATACTCTCACTTTGGGGCTGACACCTTTCAATTCTTGATGAACCTTTCTGTTACTTAGCTGAGCTGGATATAGCTTGCTTTAATCTTTCTTTGCAAATCTATCAGTTCAGTCATCCCATTAGCAGTGACTCTACTGTTGAACAGTCTCCAATTCTTAATTTTTATATATGAGAAAAACACATGTCTTGCTAAGAGAAAATCAGTTATCTGGCAGCTCAGGAGGCACATGATTCCCTTTTTAGCATACCCTTCTTCTGAGATTCAGTCTAAACCGTCTGCCCATGGATCTTTCACACAGCTTAAGACTGGTTTTAGCCTAAAGATCTAAGAATAAAATTTTGTTAGAGTATAGCATATCTGGAACACTGCTGATATTTTACAGATTTGCACCTACAAATAAGGGGTAGCTATACTATGAGAAGGGGAGATGATGCTCTGTGTGAAAGAAGAAAGGAATTTCAGAACAAAATGTCAATTAAAAATCTTTATCCTTCTCTCTCTCCCTCTTACTATGAGAAGGACATATATTGTAGCTTTCCAATAGCTCTGCTGAAGACTTCCTCTTTGGGCCTCAAAATGAAAAGCAAAAATTCCGGCTCTCCATTATGAGAAAAAGTTAAGGAGCTTACAGTCAGTCAATTATGGGGGCTAAATGAAAGCAAAATCTCCTTGGAAAAAGGAACGGTTCTTTGTCATATATATAACTCACTACTCAGAAGATCTGTGTCCCTGATTCTACATTTCCACATCGTTATATTGGCATTCTGTGTTGAGATAATAACATTTCAGGATGGTGGCAAATCTGAATGCTGTTCACACACGACCGCGCAGCCGAGGGTGGCCAGGGAAGCGTTTGTAGGAGGGCAGCGTATTATCATTCAGCAGCAACCCCAGCTTTCCAGTCCTCCCGGGCATGGAGAACTGACACTTCAGTCTCCCTCCCCATGGCATTCTGCCTGTCAGTATGACAGAGGCTAAAAAGATTGTTGGAGTATCTGATGACTATTGCCACAGGAAAAAAAAACAAATTACAGGCAAAACTGAACCTATTAGCTGTTCATCAGGGTATTTTGAACTCATGTGCTACGCTGATTGTGAAGTGGAACTGGGAGGTATGGTACCAGACAGAAATGCTTGACTTCACAGTTTTGTGAACAATTCCAAAGGAGTTACTGTAAAAAGAATTGTTACACAGAACAGGGGCCATCAGCACATAGATGGTAAAACTATTTCTATAAAACTGTTATATTTCTATTTTCTCTCACTGCACATTTACGAGATTCTTATTTGCTGAATCCCTGCCTGTAGATATTAGTTAAAATTTATCTTTGATGACTCCACCAAAACCCAGTTGAGTTATATGAGGAAAGCATTTAAAGCCATTATACTGTTGCATATGCACATATTTTATGCCAACACAGATGTGGATAGCATTTCTTCTTACAGCTAACCCATTCTTGCAGAGTAGGCTGAACAATGTATTTGTGTACAACTCCAGCATTCTAAAAACACATTTCTAGGTCTAGAAAATTATAAATTTCAGAAATAAATAATTGTAAGTAAACAACAACCAACTACTACAGTTTTTCATACTTGAATTCTTGGACAATATCTTTTCTGTATTTTAAATTCCTCTTTAAAAGAAATACAAAGAATCCTCATGAAAGAAAAAATGTACATCATAGGCTGCAGGTTAAACAGAACTGGCAGTTACTTTTCCTGCAGACTTCTTTTAAATATTTCATCATACATAAAATGTGTTACCTGTTATAAAAACAAAGCAACTTTTCAGGCCAGGGAAATCTTAAGTAAAGTTTAAAGTGATTAAAATGATATTAATTTCCTGCAAGAAAATGTAAAAATTACTAGATAATGCTGATGAAGCACATTTTCTGAATACCCTGTGCCTACACCTTGGTGGCACAGTGGTGATGCTTTTTCTACTCCTTTCCATTACAAGCCAGGCGCCATCCTTCCCCTCTGACTGCTGTACACCTTTTCCTGCCTGCAAAGTTGTCAGTTGTATTTTAGCCAAGAACACATGAACAGAAACAGACTCTTCACAGCATAGCAGCAGCGACTCCAGCTCTGACCTAAAACCGGTCAAGGACACTGATTAATCACCTGCTCCATACAGTGCTTTGAGGGTCACGTTCTCCAATATGGACCATTCCACTGCACTGACTACACAGGGGAAAACCACCATCTGATGCTGCTAGCCCTATGCCTATCAGTGTGGACCTGAGACTTTGGCATATATAAATACAGAAATTAAATTTTTGACATAAGCTTTGCATATTCAGCAAGCATGCAGTAGCTGCAGCCTGCAGAGGGCTGTACTGCATTCTACAA